CCATTCCACTTGAAGTGCTGTCATCATTCATTTGCAGAGGACAAGAAATTAGAGAAGAGGCTTTCTCAAACCTTGATGTAATCACAGATTCTTTTGATGTTTGTTTTTCTTTATCCTCTGTCCTTACTTCCTTTATATCCAAAGCAGGATCACTATTTTAAAAGATCCATTTAAAATATCCATTAAAAAGCTAATGTTTTTGGGAGCCTGGATGGCTCAGTTGGTTAAGCCACTGCCTTTGGCTCAGTGGCCTTCTCCCCTCTTATGCTCTCTCCTACTCTCTATCCCTCTCTCTTAAATAAATGCTCGACATTTCTCTTATACCATACACAAAGATAAACTCAAAATGGATAAAAACCTCAATGTGAGGCAGGAATCTACCAAATCCTAGAGGAGAACATAGGCAGTAACTTCTTCGACATCGGCCACAGCAACTTCTTTCAAGACATGTCTCCAAAAGCAAAGGAAAGAAAAGTGAAAATGAACTTTTTGGGGCTTCCTCAAGATAAAAAGCTTCTGCACAGCAAATGAAACAATCAACAAAACAAAGAGACAACCCACGGAATAGGAGAAAATATTCGCAAATGACACTACAGACAAAAGGCTGATATCCAAGATCTAATAAAGAACTCCTCAAACTTAATAGACACAAAACAGAAAATCACATCAAAAAATGGGCAGAGACATGAACAGACACTTCTCCAAAGAAGACATACAAATGGCTAACAGACACATGAAAAAATGTTCATCGTCATTAGCCATCAGAGAAATTAAAATCAAAACCACATTGAGATACTACCTTACACCAGCTAGAATGACCAAAATTAACAGGACAGGAAACAACAAGTGTTGGAGAGAATGTGAGAAAGGAGAACCCTGTTTCACTGTTGGGAATGCAAGTTGGTGCAGCCGCTTTGGAAAATAGTGTGGAGGTTCCTCAAAAAGTTAAAAACAGGGTGCCTGGGTGGCTCAGTGTGTTGGGTCTCTGCCTTCAGCTCAGGTCATGATCTCAGGGTCCTGGGATCGAGTCCTGCATGGGGCTCCCTGCTCAGCATGGAGCCTGCTTCCTCCTCTCTCTCTCTGCCTGCCTCTCTGTCTACTTGTGATCTCTCTCTGTCAAATAAATAAATAAAAATCTTATATAAGTATATATTAATATCTAATATCTAATCATATATATTTTTTCATATAAAAAAGTTGGAGATAGTCTAATATATATATTAGATATATTTATTATAGAGATAGTATATATATATATATATATATATACATAATATATATGTACTATATATATAATATATATATATTAAAAACAGAGCTACCCTAAGACCCAGCAATTACATTACTGGGTATTTACCCCAAAGATACAGATGTAGTGAAAAAAAGCAGCAATGTCTACAATAGCCAAACTGTGCTAGGAGCAGAGGTACCCTTCAACAGACGAACGGATAAAGAAGATATGGTCCATATATACAATGGAATATTCCTCAGCCACCAAAAAGGATGAATACCAACATCTGCATCAACGTAATGGAACTGAAGGAGATTATGTGAAGTGAAATAAGTCAAACAGAGAAAGACAATTATGACATGGTTTCGCTTATTTGTGGAACACAAGGAATAGCATGGAGGAATTAGAAGGAAGGGGAAAATGAAGGGGGGAAAATCAGAGGGGGAGATGAACCATGAGAGACTATGGACTCTGGGAATCAAACTGAGGGTTTTAAAGGGGAATGAGGTGGGGGAGTTGAGTGAGCCCAATGATGGGTATTAAGTAGGGCATGTATTGCATGGAGCCCTGTGTGTTATACACAAACAACGAATCACAGAACACTACATCAAAAACTAATGATGTACTGTATGGTGACTACCATAGCGTAATTAAAAAAAAAAAAGAAAGAAAAAGAAATGCTGGGATAGAAAAATAAATAAGTAAATAAAAGTATTCTAAAATTTGCATAAAACATGACATCAAACCAAAAACTTTAAATATACTTTGTTAAACAATCAGTACCTTGTAGACCTAAACTCATTTTTTCCAACAGTCGCATACTACACATTGTTTTACAGGGGTGAAAATTTACTTCCCTATTGACAGATACTTAGACTATCTCCAACTTTTTTATATGAAAATAATGCTATAATAAATATCCTTAATGTATGTCATATTTTATATATATAAAAATGTATAATAAATGTCCTTAGAATGTATGTGTGTGTGTGTTTACACAAGTCACGTTTTTCTATAGGATCTAGTCCTGGCAATGAAGTTCTTGGGATAAGGGGTCAGAATATTTAAAAATTTTTTTTATCATTTTTTTAATTTATTTTCAGCATAACAGTACTCATTGTTTTTTGTACCACACCCAGTGCTCCATGCAATCTGTGCCCTCTCTAATACCCACCACCTGGTTCCCCCAACCTCCCACCCCCCCACCTCTTCAAACCCTTCAGATTGTTTTTCAGAGTCCATAGAATATTTAAAATTTTTGAAACACACTGCTAAATCACCCTTTAGAAAGGGTTTACCAATTTTATTTAACAACAGTGTATAAGAATGCCCTTTTCTTCACATTTGCTAACTTTGGTTGTTAATTTTTTAATAAAATATTTATCACTATGATTGCAAAAAATTGTATCTCATTATTTAAATTTTTCTGATTAGCATCCAAGATGAAATAACCTTACTAAAAAACATAAAATTTGTTAATCATGAATGTTAGCTCCAACTAGAATTTGTTTTATAGGAAAATAATAATTACCTACTATTTAAATATTGCTATAGGCTTACCCATCAGATTCTTCATTTTCCGTAATAGGACATAGGTTGTTATCAGTTTTTCCACTCCCTATTGGATGCATTAGTCCAGCAGCAGCAGAAGCATATATGCTTTCCAATACTGCCATTTCATCATTTTGGTGCTTCTCCGTTTCTTCAATCTTTAATAGAAGTTTGATACGAAGGATAATCGTTACTAGTTTATTCATTAAAATGAACTTTCTTCATTAATTATACATGTTTTAAAGATTTTATTTATTCATTCATCAGAGAGAGAGAGAGAGAGAGCACAAGCAGGAGGAGGTGCCAGCAGTGGGAGAAGCAGGCTCCCTACTGAGCAGGGAGCCTAATGCAGACCCCATCCCAGGATCCTGGGATCATGACCAGAGCCAAAGGCAGGCTCTTAACCAACTGAGCCACCCATGCATCCCAGAACTTTTTTTCATTATTTATATCATTTGACTCTTAGTTTGTCATAATTTTAATTGATTAAAAATATTTTGTGTTTATCATTATAAGTAACTGCAATTTTTATAAATTCTGCTTCATTTCTGTTTCAATAAAAAGAGAGGAATTGGGATGCATGGGTACCTTGTTGGTTAAGTATCTGCCTTGGGCTCAGGTCATGATCCCAGAGTGCAGGGACAGAGTTCAGGCCTGCTTCCTCTGCCAGTACTTCCCCCTGCTTGTGTGCATGCACTGTCTTGCTCTCTCTCTCTCATTCTCTCTCTGACAAATAAATAAAATCTTTAAAATAACTAGTTTGGTTTATACTTTTTGCCACTTGCATGTCAAACTCTTGGTCTTCTTTCACTTCAAACGTAATCTGTGGGTTCCTTACTTTTTTATTTTCTCTGTCACTATCAAAATTCATTTTTGTTAAAAATCTGCTCAAAGTCTGATTTTATCATTTTCAGAGTTTGATTTATTTTCACTTAAGGAAAGATCAGAAGATGACCGGCAACTATGATCCGAGGTTGAATGAGAAAGAAGGACATTTTCGAGTCTAGACTCACTCTGTTCAGGTAATGCCTGAAGTACAACAAAGACAGGCACTGCAAATGCATCTTTTTTCTCACAATCAAGTCTATCATTTGTCAAATTAGTAGGTATTTCCATTAAGTTTGCTTCTTCTTTAAAGGGACCATGTAGTGACTCTTCCTTAGTATAAGCAGTAATTTTGTTTTTTGTTTTTTGTTTTTTTTTTTTTCACAAATTTCACCAAACTTCTGCTTTAACTCTCTGGTGATGAGTTTTAACTTATTTTTCCACTCTAATTTGTCTTGTTTGGTCCACATGTCCTCACACTTTTGAACAGAGGGATGTTCTGAATATAAAAATATATCATCCTCTCTATCACATTCCTTATTCATTCCTGGTTTTTGGGCCATTTTTGACAGATACAAAAATGGAAAGTTAAAGTGCTGTATTTGATTTTCAGATGTCCTTTCTGTCAGCATACATGCTTGTAAAATATCTCTATCCTTAAGTAATCAAGTATGGACAAAGAAAAAATTAGAAAATAATTAAAATTTAACTGTTAAATTTCTTAATCTATGTTAAGCTGCTCCCAAGTCACTGGATTGTAACTAAGAAGCGAAAAATAACTTGCCCTACGCTGAAACAGAAGAAAAACACAAATCCATAATCTTAACTTTGTCAGTTTTTTAAACTAAATAATTCATTACATGTTACATCTACCAAAAAATGAATTACATGATTTTCAATGTTACAAACTTAAAAACATTTTATCTTACCATACCTTAAACAGTGAGCCCCCAAAGTGCATTTGGGGATTTTTTTTAAAGATTAATAACTAGAGAATAGGCAAGCGTATTATTAGGAGCCAAAAATCAATAAACATCAATCAGAAAGAAAAATAAATTCCTAAATTTTAATTCAAATTATATACTATGATAGTGTTATACATCACTATAAATTATCTGCCTGCATCTAGCAATTGTAACGTCCACTGAGAGTGGATAAGAAAAATGTTAATAATACTTACAGATTCCCTATACTGAAATGAAATAACTGAAAATGTGCCTGTTTATTACCCAACTACAAAGGTCCCATCCTGGAAGGTGTGATTCTATGATAGGCAATTGTGTTGATTTTATGACCCTACTCGCTGAAGTCAACTACACAGAAATCGCAAGGCAAAATAAACCTTTAATCTTGGCATTAGTGACTGGCAAAACAGAACTGCACATTTTGAACCACTGAGAACTGCACATTAAGAACCACTAAGAATCACTCCTTCTACATGAGTCTAAATCAGTAGTCATCATTGTTATACTGCTCATAATTTCAACTGCTTAAACATACGGTTCAGTATTTGATGTTACCTTTTTAGCATGTAAAAACTTACAAAAATGGAAGAAGCAAACAATATTCAGGAATTTTTTTGGTCCAATTCCAAGGATAAAGTTTAACTATAAGCTACTATAAATTCTAACAATATTTTAAATTTGGTAACTTGTAAAATTTTACAAAAACTAAATATTAAATTATAATCTATCAACTTCAATATATTTTGTTCAGAAGATAATTTCATTTGAACTATGTTACATTCTTAAAGCAGGGAAAACAATATAAAACTGGAAATTTAAATTTAAATTTGTATATACCTGCAGTTGTTTATTTTCACTTTCATTAAGACTTTCTTCCTCTTTTTCTGTTGTCATTTCTAAGTCTAGTTCTGCTGAAAAATCTATATATTTCATTAAAATGGACAAATTAGAATGGTTAGATAAAAGCTATAACCTTCATAAAAATAGAAAACATCTTATCAATTAAGAGTTTAAATTAATCTTTAGCTGAATATTTACTTTAAGAAATACTTTTAATTATCAAAAATTTCAACAAACCATTTGGGAAATACTAAATGTCACTAGTTTAAAGGCATACAAACATCTCAAAGAATCATTCACAAATTCACCCACCTAATACCAATGAACAAAACAATCAGAAACAAATTTTTAAAATGCAGCAGAAAGATATAAAATCACAACAGACTATTCTTTACAGTATCTCTTAAACAACACCCTAAGCTTTAACTACAACATTATTCATGGTTTCCAAAATTACTAGTATTTTTTATGCCTGTAACAGTGTATAACCTTCCTACGGGTGTATTTCCCTGATGAATGTAAACATTCCTAAAATGTTCTCCTCTACACTTGACAAATTTCTTCACACCTTAGAGGACACAGACTGCTACGTAAAGTCATCCTTGATTAAGGCTACCCTTCCCTAGATAAATAGACCTCTTTCTTTGGGGCTACATTAGTACTATACAGATTTTTCTAGTGCATCTTCACCACCTGAACTGTAAGTTACTTCTTTATGTATATATATATTCCTTTTGTTACTAGACTGTATGGGACAATTTCTCTCTTTCTCTCTTTTTAAGAGAGAGGAGGGGGGAGGAGAAGAGGGAGAGAGAACTTTGACCAGGCTCCACGCCCAGCACTGAGCCTCACATGGAGCTTGATCTCACAACTCTGAGATCATGACCTGAGCCAAAATCAAGAGTTGGACACTCAACCAACTGAGCCCCCCAGGTGCCCCTAATGGGACAATCTCTTAAATCATCTCTGTGTAAACAGTCTTTATTCTACTCAGTAACTATTTACTGAGTTCCTAGTAAGTGCTAGGCACCCAGGTTTAAAGAAGCATGTAGATAAAAGGTGTGTCAGGAATGGATTTTGTAGAGCTAATGCCTGAACTGAGACAGCAACACTGAGGTCAGCCAGATTCAAAGGGGTTAGAGGGTAGAAAATGGGGGGAGTATACAAGCCCATAGTAAGACAAGGGAGAGAAACACACAAGAGGGCAAATATCTGTCTAAAATACAGGAATCAAAGGGGAAGACATCAAAAGCAGTTCAGAATGCCAGAGAAAAGGGCAGAAAATAGAAAGGGCTAGAGAGCTTAGCAGAACTCAAAATTATGAAAGCTTTATATGTAATTTTAAGATACCTGGACACAAACATATTTTCAACAATGGTTCACAGTCATATTTGCATTTGAGACACATCACTCTAAATGCTGTGGAGAGGGATGAATTTGAGGGGCATTGTAATAAAAGGTGGGAAATGAATGAGAAGGCACTGATGCAAAATAAAGATGAAGCACACCTGAACTGACAGAATCGTTCTAGAAATATTAAGGATATAAAATTATCAGGGCCAGTACAGAATAAATCTATATTAAATGAATAAACACACAATCTTGAGTCCCTAGCAACCAACTTTGCTCATTACTTTATAAAAGGCATCAAGTGGGAATTATTCTACATGAACTGTTTTAAGTTTCATGTATTTATTTTATAATTTTTCTGTTCCATATCTTCCTTCCTGTGTTACAGGAGCCTGTACGTGCTTTGTTTTAAAGCTCCTGCTTCTTGAATCTACCAAGTTCATGAGGAAGTAACAGGAACAAGTCACTTGTATAGGTAAATAACTTTGAATTTATTGTCTGTATTCACTACTCTAGGAAATAATTGAAAATCTTTTGAAAATATAGTGTTAATTCTACAAGTAAAGAAAGAACATAAAACTACAGGGGTGAAAAAAGTACTGTACAATTTATTAGTACCGATCTGATCATATGACTGATGAAAGGCCCTGAGTTAACTGGTACATTAAGTAGAGCACACATTAGATATGGTTAATCAATAGACTGAGTATATCAGGAGAATATTATTTTTAAATGATATAGTACTCCTTAAAACCAATATTCCACTTATTTCACCCAGCATAATCTCTTCCAGTGAAATAAGACAAGCAGAGAGAGTCAATTATCATACGGTTTCACTTATTTGTGGAGCATAACAAATAGCATGGAGGACATGGGGAGTTAGGAGAAGGGAGTTGGGGGAAATTGGAAGGGGAGGTGAACAATGAGAGACTATGGACTCTGAAAAACAATCTGAAGGGTTTGAAGAGGTGGGGGGGTGGGAGGTTGGGGGAACGAGGTGGTGGGTATTAGAGAGGGCACGGATTGCATGGAGCACTGGGTGTGGTACAAAAACAATGAATACTGTTATGCTGAAAATAAATTTTAAAAAAAGATTAAATAAATAAATAAATAAATGATGTTAAAAATTAAAAAAAAAACATATTCCACTTATTCATCAAAATTAATGAAGGGGGGTGCCTGGGTGGCTCATTCAGTTAAGCGGCTGCTTTCAGCTCAGGTCATGACTGGGTCCTGGGATGGAGTACTCCGTCGGGCTCCCAGGTCAGTGGGGAGTCTGCTTCTCCCTCTGCCCCTCCTCCCACTTTTTCTCTCAATCTCTCTCAAATAAATAAAATCGTTAAGTAATAATAACAAGAATAATAATAATAAAAAAGGGACATCTGGGTGGCTCAATGAGTTAAGTGTCTGACTCTTGATTTCAGCTCAGGTCACGATCTCAGGGTCGTGAGATCGAACCCCACATCAGACCCCGTGCTAAGCGTGAAGCCTGCTGCTTGGGGTTCTCTCCCTCCCTCTCCTTCTGCCTTCCCTCCCTCCCTCCCCACTTTCTTGCTCTCTAAAAAAAAATAAAAATAATAAAACAAGGAGGTAGACTATGCATACATAGTTGAGAAGATGGTACTATATAGTAAATTCTCAGATTCCCATTATTGCTGGGAAAGCCAACTCTAAAATAAAGTCATAGAGAATATAGGAAATATTTTAATATTTGGTTTGGGAAGCTGCTTTTTCTAGTTACATTGAATATAATTTGACCAATACTTGTGAATTTAAGGCTATAAAAATAAAGCTAAGAAACTTTGTTTTCAATAAGCAATCCTTAGACCTCTACCTAGTATTCCCAGCTGGGCACAAACTTCTAAATATAATCCTGCCACCCACTCTCAAGTGAATGCTAAAAACAGCCTAAAAGAAATTACTTTCTCCTAATTCTTTTTTTTTAAAGATTCTATTTATTAAAATAAAAAAAATAGGTATTTCAGAATTAGTGTCACACTTACTGATAATAAAAATTTTAACATTTAGGGAACCAACCCTGTATTTCTATAGTTTCCAAAAGTAGTTTGATTTGGTAGATCATATCAGTCTTTCAAGGGTTTTTGGAAACAGCTATCATATCAAAAAATTAGATATCTTTACAAAAAAAAAAACCAAAATCACAAAAAAAAGCCATAGCTTCTGTATCTCATTTGAATAATGAATACCAACATAACCTGTATCTTTGATGTCCAATAGACCTAAGGAGGATGAATACGTGGCTATGATTTACCCCATGTCTAGCACTCCATCTGCTTTCAGTATTCTTTGTGGCACTGCTGTGATTTAATCTGTTCTAGTGCAAATACCCTCGAGCCATCTAAAGTGAATTCTCTGGAGTTTCCTCCTCAACTCCAAAACTTCTCAGCTAATGTGCCTTTCTTTTTTCCCTTGTTCCCATCACTGTCCCTTCTTCAAAAGTAATTTCTGAAAAAAAAGAAAAAAAAAGTAATTTCTGGGGACACGTGAACGGAGCCTCGGATTGCGCATCCGGCTCTTGATTTCAGCTCCCATCATGATGGAAAGGTCCCCGATAGAGTCCCGCATCTGCCTCCAGGCCTAGAAGCCAGTCTCCTTGAGGAATCCCTTTCCCTCTCCCTTTGCCCCTCCCCCTGATCACTCTCTGTCTTTCTCATTGTCTCTCCATAGAATAAATACAGAAATCCTTACAACAGAGTTATTGCTGGACCTATGGTATTGATTGTTCTACTTTTATACCCCTTTTATTATGGATTATCTCTACCATTTCTCTCCTCTTTATTTAGCACTGATATCTTACATCTATAACTTCTCTTTCTGCATCTCCTTGCTCCCCTCTAGGTAAATACATGCTCACAAATAAAAACAAAATAATGCTTTCCCTTGATCCTATGGTGTCTTGAAGTATCCAGGGCCTTTCCAGATGTCTCTATGTGGGTGTCTATACCCTTGCTAACGGAGCACATGATCCAAGGACTTTTGACTTTCGCATCACCTGATAGATCAGAATGCAGAATCCCAGACCTGCTGCTCACGAATGCATTTTTAACAAGTTCTCTGATGATTCACTAAAATTGGAGAAAATCTGGTCCATACTGAGTCGCTGCCATATTCCTTCACCTTAACTTCACCTTCTAGAAGCAACCTTCATGTTCGTCACTATCAATTCTTCAAAACTGGAAATGTCTTAAAAGTCACAGACTTTCGGGCGCCTGGGTGGCTCAGTGGGTTAAGCCGCTGCCTTCGGCTCAGGTCATGATCTCAGGGTCCTGGGATCGAGTCCCGCATCGGGCTCTCTGCTCAGCAGGGAGCCTGCTTCCCTCTCTCTCTCTCTCTCTCTCTGCCTGCCTCTCTGTCTACTTGTGATCTCTCTCGTCAAATAAATAAATAAAATCTTTAAAAAAAAAAAAAAAAGTCACAGACTTTCTAATGGACTTTTTATCATGGCTAAGGCTTCCTCAATTTCCCCCGAACTGACCGTGCTCTCTTCTCCTTCCAATTCTCTTACTTGGCCCTCAATGATACTATTTATGAAGTACCACCATATACATGCCATTAAGCCACACATTCTTATAGCTGACTAGACCATAACTCTGCATCATCAACCATAACGGTCTTTAATGTCTTCCCAACAGCGAGGAAACAGTAACAGGGGGAGAATTTTGGTATCCAACTCTGACAGGTTTTGGTACCGGAAGCTCCCCTGATACACTTTCGTCATTTCAAATAGTCTGCTCTTCCCTTTTTTTCATTTTTAAATTTTTTATTTCTTTTCAGTGTAACAGTATTCATTTTTTTTGCACCACACCCAGTGCTCCATGCAATCCGTACCCTACTACCCACCACCTGGTTCCCCCAACCTCCCACCCCCTGCCCCTTCAAAACCCTCAGATTGTTTTTCAGAGTCCATAGTCTCTCGTGGTTCACGTCCCCTTCCAATTTCCCTCCACTCCCTTCTTCTCTCCATCTCCCCTTGTCCTCCATGTTATTTGTTATGCTCCACAAATAAGTGAAACCATATGATAAGTGACTCTCTCTGCTTGATTTATTTCACTCAGCATAATCTCTTCCAGTCCCGTCCATGTTGCTACAAAAGTTGGGTATTCATCCTTTCTGATAGAGGCATAATACTCCATAGTGTATGTGGACCACATCTTCCTTATCCATGCGTCCATTGAAGGGCATGTTGGTTCTTTCCACAGTTTGGTGACCGTGGCCATTGCTGCTATAAACACTGGGGTACAGATGGCCCTTCTTTTCACTACATCTGTATCTTTGGGGTAAATACCCATTAGTGCAATGCAGGGTCATAGGGAAGCTCTATTTTTAATTTCTTGAGGATTCTCCACACTGTTCTCCAAAGTGGCTGCACCAACTTGCTTTCCCACCAACAGTATAAGAGGGTTCCCCTTTCCCCACATCCTCTCCAACACATGTTGTTTCCTGTCTTGCTAATTTTGGCCATTCTAACTGGTGTAAGGTGATATCTCAATGTGGCTTTAATTTGAATCTCCCTGATGGCTAGTGATGATGAACATTTTTTTATGTGTCTGCTAGCCATTTGTATGTCTTCATTGGAGAAGTGTCTGTTCATATCTTCTGCCCATTTCTTTATATGATTGTCTGTTTTGTGTGTGTTGAGTTTGAGAAGTTCTTTATAGATCCTAGATATCAACCTTTTGTCTGTACTGTCATTTGCAAATATCTTCTCCCATTCCTTGGGTTGCCTCTTTGTTTTGTTGACTGTTTCCTTTGCTGTGCAGAAGCTTTTGATCTTATGAAGTCCCAAAAGTTCATTTTCGCTTTTGTTTCCTTTGCCTTTGGAGACATATCTTGAAAGAAGTTGCTGTGGCCAATGTCACAGAGGTTACTGCCTGTGTTCTCCTCTATGATTCTGATAGATTCCTGTCTCATGTTGAGGTCTTTTATCCACTTTGAGTTTATCTTTCTGTACAGTGTAAGAGAATGGTTGAGCTTCATTCTTCTACATATAGCTGTCCAATTTTCCCAGCACCATTTATTGAAGAGACTGTCTTTAAGCCAGCATTAACCTGATCCCCAAACCAGGCAAAGACTCCACCAAAAAGGAGAATTTCAGACCAATATCACTGATGATTATGGATGCTAAGATTCTCAACAAGATCCTAGCAAATAGGATCCAACAGCACATTAAAAAGATTATCCACCATGACCAGGTGGGATTCATCCCTGGGTTGCAAGGATGGTTCAACATTCACAAGTAAATTAATGTAATAGAGCAAATCAGTAATAGAAGAGAGAAGAACCACATGGTCCTCTCAATTGATGCAGAAAAAGCATCTGAGAAAATCCATCATCCGTTCCTAATTAAAACGCTTCAAAGTATAAGGATAGAGGGAACATTCCTCAACTTCATAAAATCTGTCTATGAAAGACACACAGCAAATATCATCCTCAATGGGAAAAAGCTCGCAGCCTTCCTGTTGAGATCAGGAACACGACAAGGAGGCCCACTCTCACCACTCTTATTCAACATAGTATTAGAAGTCCTAGCAACAGCAATCAGACAACAAAGAGAAATAAAAGGTATCCAAATTGGCAATGAAGAAGTCAAACTCTCTCTCTTCGCAGATGACATGATACTTTATATGGAAAACCCAAAAGACTCCATCCCCAAACTACTAGAACTCATACAGCAATTCAGTAACGTGGCAGGATACAAAGTCAATGTACAGATCAGTGGCTTTCTTATACACTAACAATGAAAATACAGAAAGGGAAATTAGAGAATCGATTCCATTTACTATAGCACCAAGAACCATAAGACACCTGTGAATAAACCTTACCAAAGAGAAAGGATCTGTACTCAAGGAACTACAGAACACTCATGAAAGAAATTGAAGAAGACACAAAAAGATGGAAGACCATTCCATGCTCTTGGATCGGAAGAATAAACATTGTTAAAATGTCTATACTGCCTAGAGCAATCAGAAAGCCATTCTGATCAAAATTCCACTGGTATTTTTCAAAGAGCTGGAGCAAATAATCCTAAAATTTGTATGGAATCAGAAGAGACCCCAAATCACTAAGGAAATGTTGAAAAACAAAAACAAAACTGGGGGCATCAAGTTACCTGATTTCAAGCTTTACTACAAAGCTGTGATCACCAAGACAGCATGGTACTGGCATAAAAACAGACACATAGACCAGTGGAACAGAGTAGAGAGGCCAGATATGGACCCTCAACTCTATGGTCAAATAATCTTCGACAAAACAGGAAAAAAAATACAGTGGAAAAAAGTCTCTTCAATAAATGGTGCTGGGAAAACTGGACAGCTATATGTAGAAGAATGAAACTTGACCATTCTCTTACACCATACACAAAGATAAACTCAAAATGGATAAAAGACCTCAATGTGAGACAGGAATCCATTAGAATCCTAGAGGAGATCATAGGCAGTAACCTTTTCGATATCAGCCACAGCAACTTCTTTCAAGATATGTCTCCAAAGGCAAAGGAAACAGAAGCAAAAATGAACTTTTGGGACTTCATCAAGATTTGCTCTTCCTTTTAAAAGAATTGAGCTAAATCTTACATGTTTCAAAAGCTCTTTTTCTTAGGCTTGTAAATATCTTTTGTTCAAACATAGATATCAGCAATATCATCTACCTTATTTATGTCAGAACCTTCACTGAAGCTTGCCCCAAAAAATTAAATAAATACATACATAAATAAATAAATAAATAAATAAATAAAAAGACTTCAGAATAAGAAGACTGTGAGCACTTCAAATATTTTAGTGGACTTCTTTACACCGTTAAATTTGTATTGTAAAATTTACCTGATTGGGATGTTTTAATTTCCTCCATTTCTCCAGGCTGATTAGGAATAAAATCTTTCCCCTCCACAGCAGGCTGAATGGGCATTGAAACAATATGATTAAGACATAATGAACAGTTCATGCAATCTGTAGTTAAAACCTCAAAATAAAAATATAAGTTTTACCTTCAAGTAAGAATATTTTCCTGAAGAATCTAAAAAGCAAAAGGGTCATATAGTTAACTCCATGTACATATAGAAGCCAACAAACACTCATGCACTTAGGACTAAGCTGAATCCTCATGCCTGGCTCAGATTACAAATGGGTTTTGGGGTTGTTTCTGCAGACAGGAAGGTGGGTTGGGCAGAAGAGCAATTTCTAAGGAGAGGAACAAATTGTGACCCTGAGCGGACAAATGTGAAAGCCAATGGTAGAATGCTACACCACATCCTTAAGGCAGCACAGCAGAATCATTTACACCATTGGACTCTAAGTATGTATGACCGTCTTCAATTTGTCCTGTAATGTAGGAGTACACAGTGCTGATGATAGGTCAACTAAATGCATAATTTTCATCAAGCAAAGCCTTATGAACTGATCAGCTTGGATATACACTTGTGGGATCACAGTTACTAAAAGTACTCATTTTGGTCCATACCCATGTGGGCTACCGGTATGCCTACATTTCCTGTATCCAGTAGTTTAGCCACCTTAAAGTTCCTTCATACACTTATGCAAGAAGGTGTATAAAACACATCCAAGAAATAATGTACAATAGCTTTAAATATGGAAATATGACTATGTATATGGAACAAAATCTATTTAGTGGCCACAGAAATCTTAGGTACTGAAAATCTTTTGTCACTGTCATACTTATTGATAAAAACAATTTTAGCATTCAGGGAACCAACCCTATAATTTCTTTTGATTCCAAACGTAGTTTGATTTGGTAGATCATGGCAGTCTTTCAAGGGTTTTTGGAAACAGCTATCATATCAAAAAATTACCTATCTTTAAAAAAAGAAAGCATAGCTTCCGTATCCCACTTGAGTAATGAAGATCGACGTAACCTGAATCTTTGATGTCCAAAAGACCTGAGGAGGATGAATACGTGGCTATGATTTACCCCATGTCTAGCACTCCATCTGCTTTCCGTATTCTTTGTGGAGCAGCTGTGATTTAATCTGTTCTAGTGCAAGTACCCTCAAGCCATCTAAAGTGAATTCTCTGGAGTTTCTTCTCAACTCCAAAACTTCTCAGCTAATGTGCCTTTCCCTTTCCCCTTGTTCCCATCACTATCCCCCTTCTTCAGAGTAATTCCTGGGGGTGCCTGGATGGAGCAACGGATTGGGCATCCAGCTCTTGATTTCGGCTCACATGGCAATGGCACGGTCCTCACAAAGAGCCACGCATCCGGCTCTGGGTCAGAAGCGACTCTTCACTATGTCCCTTCAAAAAGTAATTTCTGGGAGCACCCAGATGGAATAGCGGATTGAGCATCCAGCTCTAGATTTCGATTCAGGTCTTGAGGGCAGGGTCCTCAGACTGAACCCTGCATCGAGCTCCATGCTCAGAAGTGAGCCTGTTTGAGGAATCTCTCTCCCTCTGCCTTTGTCCCCCCCCACCAATCATTCTCTCTCTCATTCTTGCTCCCTAAAACAAATGAAGAAAAAAAATCGTAAAAAAAGACGTATTTGTGGATCTATGGTCTTGATTGATCTGCTTTTACACCCTTTTTATTAGGGATTATCTCCACCACTTCTTTTCTCTTTATTTAGCACTAGTATCTTACATCTATAACCTCTCTTTCTGCATCTCCTTGCTCCCCTCTAGCTGAAAACATGCTTACAAATAAAAAGAAAATAATGTTTTCCTTGATCCTATGGTGTCTTGAAGTAACCAGTAGCCTTTCCAGGTGTCTGTATGTGGAAGTCTACACCCTTGCAATGGAGCACATGACCCAAGGACCATTGACATTCGCATCACCTGACAGGTCAGAATGCAGGATCCCAGACCTGTGGTCATAATGTTCATTATTTTTTGAAAGATTTTATTTCTTTCTTTGACAGACAGAGATCACGAGTACTCAGAGAGGCAGGCAGAGAGAGAGGCAGAAGCAGGATCCCTGTGGAGCAGAGAGCCAGATGCGGGGCTCAATCCCAGGTCCTGAGATCATGACCTGAGCCCAAGGCAGAGGCTTAACCCACTGAGCCACACACGTGCCCCTCACAATGTGCATTTTTAACAAGGTCTCCGATGATTCAGTAAAATTGGAGAAATTCTGGTCCATACTGAGTCGCTACCACATTCCGTTACCTTAACTTCACCTTCTAGAGCAAGCCTCACGTTCGTCATTATCAATTCTTCAAAACTGGAAATGTCTTAAAAGTCATTAACTTTCGGGGTGCCTGGGTGGCTCAGTGGGTTAAGCCGTTGCCTTCGGCTCAGGTCATGATCTCAAGGTCCTGGGATCGAGTCCTGCATCGGACTCTCTGCTCAGCAGGGAGCCTGCTTCCCTCTCTCTCTCTCTGCCTGCCTCTCTGTCTACTTGTGATCTCTCTCTGTCAAATAATTAAATAAAATCTTTAAAAAAAAAGTCATTAACTTTCTAATGGACTTTGAATCACAGCTAAAGCTTCCCTGATTCCCGCGAACTGACCCTGCTCTCTTTCTCTTTCCAATTCTCTTACTTTGCACTCAATGATACTATTTATGAAGTACCACCATTTTATAAGCCATTAAGACATACACACTTATTGCTGACTAGGACATAGCTCTGCATAATCTGCCACAACAGTCTTTAATGTTTTCCCAACTATGAGGAAAGCAGGAAGAGGGGGAAATTTTTGGTACACTACTCTGACAGGTTTTGGTACTGGAAACTCACTTGATATTATTCCTGTATATCAAATAGTCTGCTCCTCCTTTTAAAAGAATTGACCTAAAGCTTACATGTTTCAAAAGCTCTTTTTCTTAGGCTTGTAAATATCTTTTGTTCTAACGTGGATATCAGCAATAACATCTACCTTATTTATGTCCAATCCTTCACTTAAACTTGGACAAAAAAAAATAATAATAATTCAGAAGAAGACTGTGAGCATTTTAAGTATTGAAATGTATGTCTTTCCATTGTTATATTTCTATTGTAAAATTTACCTGATTTGGATGTTTGTTTTTCCTCCATTTCTCCTCCATTCTTAGGAACAGAATCTTTCTCCTCGACAGTAAGCTGAAGAGGTATTGAAACAATATGATTAGTATGTAATGTACATTTCATACAATCTGTAGTTAAAAATTCAAAATAAAAATATGTTTTACCTTCAAGAAAGAATATTTTCCCAGAGACTCTAAAATGCAAAAGGGACATATAGTTAATTATATGTACATATGAAAAACAACTAAATTTTCATACAGTTAGTACTAAGATGAATCCTCATGCCTGGCTATGATTACATTAGGATTTCATTTTCTGTTTCTAGAGATAGGAAGGTGGCTTAGGACAGTGACAAGATAGAAATATGAACCCATTATAAGTATTGAACAAAATAACAAAATATACGCTCAACAAAACATGCAGTTAGGATTTCAAAAGTCAGATGATGTTTCAAAGGAGCATAACTAATATAGAAGACTGCACGTATACCAATGTGAACATGCTGACTGATGGGGAGAAAAGCAACTTTTAATGAGAGGAATAAATAATGACCCTGAGTGGACAAATATGAAAGCCAATGGTAGAATGCTACATCACATCCTTAATGCAGTACAGCAGAATCTTTTTATCATTATACTACAAGTATTAACCACGTTCTTCCATTTGTCCTGTAATTTAGGCAGTCCACGTTTGTAATGATAGCTCAACTGAATGCATAATTGAGTTTTCATCAGAGAAAGCATTATGAATTGATTGGCTTGGATATACACTTGTAGGATAATGGTTACTAAAGTACTCATTTTGTCCATACCCATGTGGGCTACTGGTATGCCTACATTTCTTGTATCCTCTAGTTTAGCCATCTTAAAGTTTCATTTTTTTTTAATTTTATTTATTTATTTGACACAGAGGGAGAGAGAGCACAAGTAGGCAAACAGGCAGGCAGAGAGGAGGGGGAAGCAGGCTCCCTGCTGAGCAGAGAGCCCGATGCAGGGCTCGATCCCAGGACCCCGAGACCATGACCCGAGCTGAAGGCAGAGGCTTTAACCCCCTGAGCCACCCAGGCGTCCCCATCTTAAAGTTTCTTGATCCACTCATGCAAGAAGGTATATAAAACACATCTAAGAAATAATGTACAATAAGCTTTCAATATGAAAATATGATTATCAAAATGGAAGAATTCTATTTAATTGCCACAAAATACTTAGGCACTTAAAATCTTTTGTATTTCAGAATCAGTGTCATACTTACTGATACTGACAATTTTAGCATGTAGGGAACCAACCCTATAATTTCTTTTGTTTCCAAAAGTAGTTTGATTTGGTAGACAATGTCAGGGTTTTTTTTTTTTTTAATTTTTTATTTCTTTTCAGTGTAACAGTATTCATTGTTTTTTGCACCACACCCAGTGCTCCATGCAATCCGTGCCCTCTCTACTACCCACCACCTGGTTCTCCCAACCTCCCACTCCCTGCCCCTTCAAAACCCTCAGATTGTTTTTCAGAGTCCATAGTCTCTCATGGTTC